CTCTCTGAAATCAATAAAAAGATATATTTTTTAAAAACATTAAAATCCTGTGAATCCCAAAGGGACAATTTCAGGTGATTCCCAAGATTATCTTCTTGTAAAAGAACAGGACAGCCCTGGCCGGTTTGGTTCAGTGGATAGAGGGTTGGCCTGTGGACTGAAGGGCCCCAGGTTTGATCCCCAGTGTGGGGCGTGCAGGAGGCAGCCGATCAATGGTTCCCTCTCATCATTGATGTTTCTATCCTCTCTCCCTCTCCCTCTGAAATCAATTAAAATATATTTTTAACAAAAGGACAGAAGAGATAGCAATTAAAGTCATTTGACAAGATAAAATCACATTATTGTTCCTTGTGAGCTCCATGAAGTTAAAAATGGCATCTTATTTATGTATGTAACCCAGTCCATTGGCACATAGTGCCTACTCTAAATGTTGTCCGATAAACTATATATATACATATTTGAGGATTAACAATTTTTATTAGAGCTTTCCTTATAGAAAGGTAAGTTATTTAATTCTCAGATATATTTCTTATCCGCCATTGTGCTATACACTCTATTTTTCTCCCACTTAATTCTCACATTAACCCAGTGAGGTAGGTTTTATATATCAGGAAACGGAAGTCGGAAATATGAAGTCAGTTTAGGGAAGGCCAGGTTATGAGGTTTCTGGGCAGAGCCACGATTCTTACCTCGGTCTATCTTGCTTGAAAAATCTGTGCTCTTAACCACCCTGAATTTCACTTCCCACTAACAGTCGGTAAATAAGTGAAAAGAGGGGAAAAGATGAGAGACACAAAGACATATCAGCATTTGGATCCGTGTGATGTTAGGACAAAAATATCTGTTCGGGGTGATGCGGCCGGCTGAGCCCAGGGCAGGGCCCCTTTTTCTCTTCCAGTAAAGCAACCTCTGGAGGGGAGAGATACATCTCAGCTACACGTCCGTGGGGCTGACTGCCCAGGCAAACGAGCGGGAAACGAGGAGGAACTGCAGGGACGGAGAGACGGGACAGCGAAAGGTAGCCGGCATCAAAAATAGCCTCCCTCGAGCTATTCTGCCTGCAGTCTTCGCAATCTGCTGGGAAGCAAAAACGGTGCACAGACAAGCCTGGAGACAAGGTTGTCTTTCTTCAGCTTTAGCTCTGTCACCAACTGCTGGGGACCCCGGCCATTTACTGGTCCGGACCTCACCTCCTCTGCACCACGGGGGCTGATGATATTAACATCTGCCTCCCCGGCTCAGCGCTGCTGGGGGGAGGAAGAATCATAGGAAACAGCACGTACGAAAACACCTGGAAAATCGCCCGTCCAAGCCAACTCTGCGAGGGGTGAGCAAGCAGGAAGAAACAGGATGACAGATCAGTGGTCCCCTCATCCACTCCACAACCCACAGTGACCAGCGGGGAAAGGATCCCTGCGAGAGCAATACTCACTGCCGGACCACAGTCAGGGCGAAGCGCGTCATTGCTGGCGTCCCGTCCTCCACGCCGCGCCGCTTCTCTGCGCTGCCGGATCGCCACTCCTGCACCACTTCCGCCAAACCCCGCCG